GACTTTTAAGGTTGACTTTCTCGGTTTTTAAGTCAAAGGGCAATCAAAATATATAAAATATAATAAAAAGTATATAAAAAAATGAGTTCCTCAATCATTCCGGTCAATGCAGTTTTATGTACTCCATCTTGTGAAACTACTATTAAATTTCTCCGAGATCAAATCGATTTATTATAAAGAGAAAATGAGGATGTTAAATATGAAGGCTATAATTTAAGGAACTGTCAAAAACCATTAAAAGAACAATTAGATGCCAAGACTAACGACTTCAGGAAATTACAAGAAGATTACAACAATTTTGAAAATTACCATCACATTAAGAAAAAACTTGTTGCTGTAACTGAGGAACTTGACGCTTTGAAAAGTAAGTGTTGAAAAACAGATGTTAGTTTCAAAAATTATAATGCGTTAAGTAAGACAGTCGAGTCCTTCGTAGAAAACCAATTGAGTTTTAAAGATAATCAAACCAAGGTTTTAGGGTATCACAATGTGCCACCTCCTTTTAATCACAACTATAACCTACCCCTTGAGACCAATGAGGAAATGTCTACTCAGTATGGCCAAACCACTGCTCCAGCTTCAGTTAAGACTGAACAATCAGGGCTAACTGAGGGTGTTGAGGTGAAGAATACTGATGTTTCTACTTCCTATGCAGGTAAAGTAACGGAAGATGAGAAGAAGGAGAACATTATTGAACAAACCAATGTCTCCTTGAACTTAGAATCTGTTTCATCGAACTCAGTTGCTTCTGATCAACCTGCTATTAGTAAATACAGACCACCAACACAAGCGAAACAAAGTGCCTGTTGCAACTGTGCATGTGGGAAAAGCAAGAGACAAGGCATGGACACGGCATCAGGGGCAGGAAGAAACAACTTCATAGTGAAGAAAAAGACTTGTTTTCACTGTGGAACACCGGGTTACATTGCCAGAAACTATCCAAATCGCGCATATGTTCCTTACTACACACAAGGGTAGCATAATGCGCAAAGTGGGAAACTCTACAAAACAAATCATTTGAACTCACAATCGCGCAGTGGTGATTGGAATTCGCAGAAGGCCAAGAATCAAACACATAAGGCCAAGAATCCGAATCTCAAGGTCAAGAAGGGTATGTCAGCCAAGAAGCCAAATACAAGAGATGCTCCTGTGAAGCCAAGGTCAAAGTCATTTCAACGGCCAACATCAAGATCAAAATCAAGTGCCGAGGCACCCATCGGATCGAAAAAGAAATGGGTCAAACCTAACTACAAATGTGTTCCAAAGGTTCAATCTCCCAAATCACCTAATGACTCTAACGTTTCCACATCTTCTATTTGTGATAAGCAGGATATGTCATGGGAGAGAGTACCCTGCAAAGATGATAAAGGTCAACCCAGTTTCAAATTGGAATGGGTTCCAAAGACCAAATTATCCCGCTCTGTGTCAGAGCAGCTATGGAGGCATATCATCAGACTTCAGTTTGTTGGTAGTGGCTGTTCCAGGCACATGATAGGATGCATCTCTCAACTGTACAACACTTAGAACTTTGTTTGAGAGTATGTGTCCTTTACGGGAAAGAAAGAAAGGAAGGGATCACACATTGGGGTTTGTGCTTACGTTGTGAAGAATTTTCGGATATGTTCTGAGTTTATGCGTGCGGTTCTCAGACCTTCTGGATGCAAACTCAATTAGTGACTTACGGTTTGAGTTTTCTTCTCTATACTCCTGAGTTTATCTTACACTGAATCATTTGAAAGACAATTTTTCACTTTCTTATAGTTTTTCGTTAGTAGGTATTGTTTGGGAAGTGATATCAACAAGTGATAACAGGAAATCTGAATTTGTGTAAGGTACCAAAGCTGAATTGTCTAGGCTCTGTGTTCAATGTGCTGGTAGGCACGAAGAGTTTAACGGAATTGACTAGGTGCAGATGAACTTAAGGAATATAGAGACTTGATAAATCTTGACCTAGATAGTTCCGTTTAGCGTGACAATATGATGCTCAGATAGGTTGAGCAGGGAGATATACATGAGAATCCACCAGTCACATTAAGAGAACCCGTATCTAGAACTGTGGTTTAACGTTTCCTCGATGTACGGATTCTATCCTTAATTCGGGTATTGATAAGGAGACTGGGGAATTCCAATAAAGTAGGTCTGTAGAAAATTACTTTCTTTCTTTCTTACTGTTAGTCATATGTTGCCTCCTTTGTGTGATTGGAAGAGATTCGATCTGGACCGCAACATATGCAAATCTATTTCACTGCATCTTATATCTATGAAATTCTTCTTATTTGTTAGTCATATGCTGTCTCCTTTGTGTGATTAACAATCTGACCTGGTACATAGCATATGCAACATTCTATTTCTCAATCCCTCTAAAACTCTAATTAGTCATAATCTAAATCTATACTCTCTATGAATAATTGTCTGCTCACCTAAAGTAAGGAGTATCTCGGAAGTTCTTGATTATTAGGGTATATCAGGAAGCGGGAAACACGTTCTAGTACAACTAAATTTGAACAATTCTGGATTGTCTATAGATCTCGCTGCTCAACTTAAGTGGAAAACAATATCCTTGATCGTCGTCAGATAAATGGTCGTTAGGAATTTTTATCTAATAACTTAGGATCAATCTGTCAGGTCACTGATAGCATTCCTAAAATTTGTCATAATTTTTCGTGCTTAAGTGGATCATAATACCGACGATCGACCAAATCTATTCATGAAGGGGAAGGTACTAACAAACGGATTAAGACTGTCTAATAACTTTGATCTCAAATATTTTTGTTTTTGTTAAATTTGTTTATAGTTTTCCTCTACGCACAAATTTAGGGGGAGAATTATAAATAAATAAATAAATAAATAAATAAATCAAAAGTCAAAAATCAAAAATCAAACAAAAATCAAAAAAATTCAAAAATCAAACAAAAAATGAAATATTAAAAACTAAAAAAAATTAATAGTGTTATTTATGTTTTTTTTTTCAGAAAATATAAAAAATCCAAAAAAAATATTTTTTGTGTGCTAATTTTTCTTAGTTTTGTTTTATCTTGAAAAATAAATTCAGATGTAGATGAGACTCGTAGATACTGTATTGAAGATTTTCTGAGCCAGGGCTTCATCCGTGATCATCGAAGAATTCTCATTCGAATGAGCAAGAAAGGAAGATTATTCTTTTGACATTCAATCCTTCAACTCCATAAGCATGGTAAAGCTGAAACTGAAGATTATGTGACAGATTGTATTGAAGCCTCCTCAATCAGTCTGCTGCTATCTTAAACCTGCTGAAGTGATCCACAAGATTTGTTCTCTTTGATTTTCTCTCTGAAGATTCTCAAGTTGAAAGCGCTATCATTCAAGAATCATTTCAAGATGCCTCCTCACCCAATGTGCGTTCAATGTCAAATTCTACAGAAAATCCTAACTGCTCAATATGAAGTCATTCATTGAAGATTCATCAAGTTCATCTTGAAGTCGTGAAGAAATTGAAGATTAATGCTGAAGCCAAGCTCCTAATAAAGATTAACAAGAAGAGCCAGCTACTTTTTAAGGGGAGCTTGTTGGGTCAATTAGAAAAGAAAGCTATAAACCAAGTGGGAGATTGTTGGGTCAAAAATATGGTTTATACTTTGCTTTTCTAGGAAAATATATTTTTCTATAATATAATATGTAGTTTTGTGGTTGTGTACGGCTGCACATGTGTGTGCGGCCTCATACTCTATGTACGGCCGCACATGCGTGTGCAGTTGTACAATCGTGTGCTACTGGTGGCCCATGTCTCATATATATATATATATATATATATATATATATATATATATATATATATATATATATATATATATATATATATATATATATATAGGGTGAGGAGTGTAAGGCTACAAAAGAGAGATAAGAGAAGCATGTTCTAAAGAGAGAAAGTTACAGAGAAGAATTGTGTGTGAGAGAGAATCTTATGTGTTGGAGCATCATTCATATCATTGAATACAATACAAGATTCATCATCATCTTCTTCTCTTTCTCTTCTTATCTTGATCTGACATCATCCAATTGATTAGGATTCTGCACCATCAATTGGATCTGATTGATAAACAAGCAATTTGGAGACTTACATCTAATTTGTCCAAATACCCCCTTAGTATAAGAACTTTTATAATGATAATATAGGTAAATTATTTAGATACAACTATTTTTTTGCCATTAGAAAATAACTACCAATGCGCCATAGAAAATTACAAGATAAAATTACAAAATACTAGGACATGCAAGAAAATGATAACATCAAACAAAAGGGACCCGACCACTTATGAAACCAACTCCAAATACGAGATTTTAATTGTGATTAAGGGGGGGGGGGGGGTAAGAGACCCGACCACAAATAAAACCATCTCCGAAAAAACATAAAGTATTTACAACCGAAAAAAATGGTTAACATCTTCATTAATCATTGAACAAAAGGGACAAGAAGAATTACACAAATTAACTCCTCTCATGGTGAAGATTTGAATGTTTGTATTGATTGGATACGTTTCATTTATAAATAACAAAAGTAAACTAATCTAAGAAAAGCAAAAAATAGAAAGTAAATCACACAAAGAGTTCTCCAAATTGTTCTTTCACCATGAAATGGTTTTGTCTTCACCAATAAGATGGGTTGTTACAAATACGGTCACCAAGATGAACTTAACATTAGGGTTTACCCTAATGCTGATTATATACTAATTTATTCAAGCATATCCCTTTATTAATGGGATTGTGTCTAATCTATACTAAGAACTGGTCCTTATCACAAGGTTATCAGATATGTTATTTATTCTATACTTATCTATATCATTACCTAATATACAAAAGATTGTAGTAGAATAACTATAGTAAGCACTGACACTAGTAGGCTTGATATGCTAGCGTTGGTAGTTGAGAAGATGTTGGCGTTTACAGATAGTGTAGAGTGTTTGACTCATCATATCATAAGGTGTGGCCTTACAATTCCCCCATATCTGATGATGTCAAAACTAAACTTCTTTAGAGTCATCAGAAGAACCATTGTAAAACTTGTCAGCTTTTTTCAAGATCTTAGGCTTGTCCCATCTGAATTGATTAGTTTTAAGTTCATCTAGTGTTCTACTAAGCACCAGAGATATCATCACGCGATATCGTATTTTTAGTTCACAATGACCAAGTCCTTCGAAGCGAAGATGAAACAAATGTTCAGTGGGAGCAGAAGGAAGATCATCAGTGTGTTGAAAGGACGCTTGATTATGACTGTCAAGATAAAATATCCCATGCTCCGATCCTGAAATAAACATGTATTGGATTGGTTAAACACCTGCTGGCAATTTATTGTTGATATACCTAATACCATAAGGAAAAAGAAACTTGTTATTCTTGGACTATTTGGGAGCGCCTGTTCTTCCTGAGGATGATTGACTAGATAGACTAGTTAATGATACAAGGTTCAACTTTTTGACTTTACTAAGTAACTGTTGAGTTGCCAACTTTACTTCTTGAACATGAATACCCTTGTGTTTGTCTGTAATTTCTTGAATTTTCTTCTACTCGTTCTAGCCAAATTTTACTAGTTCTCATGTAAATATAACCTTTGTGTATTCATATTCCATCTTCTTTCTGACCAAGTGAAGCTTTAGGGACTCGTTTCTTGGTTTGGTGCATCTCACTTTGATAATGGGATCATGCTTTGACCTGTGAGTAAGAACGTCTCCAGCCACATTGAGTTTTTCAATCGTTCATCTTCATCCTCGTTATCATTCTCATCATCATCTTTAGAGTCTAGGGATCCAACCATAAAGGGTTTTTTGATCTATTTTTGCATCCTCATAGTAATAAAAAATTTTCTTTTAGATGGAGCAACATTGATAATATTTGAGGAAAGGGTAGGAATTGGAAGCATAATCCCATGATTTTCAACATAACCTACATCTCGAGAAAAGATTAATCCAAGCCAACGAGGATAGGGAACATACAATGGCTTCTTGTTTCCAATAATGTAGTCAATCACATGATTAAGAAAAATTTAAGCAAAATCCAGTCTTTTGTTGTAAACAATGGAATATAAGATAATTTGCTCAAATAGATTCGATTGATCCAAACTCCCAGTCTTCTGTCCAATACATTTGCCAATTACACCTGTTAAACACTTCCATCCTAAATTAAAACACTGACAAAGAGTGTTCTTGTATAGATTACGAGTGAGGCCCTTAAGTTTGAAATGATACCCTAATTTTTCATGAACATATTTGCTACTTTCTTTAGAGAGAGTTTTAGAGTAACTTTCAAATTGCGGAAGAGGAAGAGTAGTTCAAAAGGATTCCACATAAATAATAACCCTATATTAACCATCTCCAATGGTTCCAGTGATGATTTGATCATCAATGTTAACATAGCATGAATAGTAGAACTCACATACTTGTTTAAGATAGAATGGATATGGGAAGTTGTAGAATGTATATCAAAGAGGAAAGCTCTTGACATAGTTGACAAAATCTTCAATTCCTGATTTCACGAACTGGTTTGGGATTTCATCTAAGAACGCCACATTGGTTGATTGAATGATGATAGGAAATCAAGGGTATTAGGGCCTTTGATGACATTAGCGCGGGGGAAAAGTCGTACAAAGGCTTTGACATGCTGAAAGCTTTTAGAAAGATGATGATTAGGAGTTTTTTTAAAGAGTGAGAGGGAGAGAGAGAGAGAGGGAGAGAGAGAGAGAGAGGAGAGAGAGGGTGTGTGTGTGTGTGTGTGTATAACGCCCAGTTCCTAGAATGCATTCAATTCTCAATTTATTCATTTTTGTATAGAAACAGGACGAGTTGGAGGCCCAAAACTCATCGAGTAGAGATAGATTTGGATGCGGGTTGTCAAACTCTACTCGACGAGTCAAGAAGCCTCAACTCGACGAGTAGGACTGATAGAACGAAACCCTAATTTTCAGGGTTTTACACCCTATTTAAACAGCTTAACCCCCATAAGCTGGCCTCATTTACAACCTCTGTTGTCCCAAACCCTAGCCATGAAACCCTAGTCCACTTTTGATAGTTTTGAGCCATTTTTGTGCATCCTTTGTGATTTTGAAGAAGAACATTCTTGAAAAAGAAGCAAGGACGTGTAAGAAGAGAATAGATCAAGATGTTGAGCTTCATTTCTAGTTTATCTAAGGTATAAAATTCCTATCTTATCTATAGAATGTTTAGATCTAGTTTTAGGATGTTTTCTCCATATTTTGGTCCAAGAATGTTGATCCTTGGGACTTAGACGTTCCATGCGGGCAAATCTTTCAAATATAGGGTCTTTAGGGGACTTCATGCCATAAAGGTGCCAACTTTATGGCCATGGAAGTCTCATGCAACTTGTGGATAATGTTTTTGTCCATTTGAACTAGGTAGTCTATACATGCAAATAAAGATAGGAACTTTACATGACCAAACTGTCCCTAGAGTCCATATCTATTATCATATGGTTTATCTTAAAGTTTTGATGGTTTTTAAAGTTTGAACTAAGCCGTTAAGAGCTAGGTTTAGGGCTCATTTCTTCTAGGATGGGTCTTAATGAATAAAGTTAGAAACTTTACCCTCCTAGATGTGTTTTTGACTCAAATCTGGAATATGGGACTTAGACTCGAAGAATAATGGCTTAACACATTATGAAAGCTTATCAGATTGAAGAACTCGACGAGTTCATAGAGGAAATTGATGAGCTGAGTCGAAATGCCGCAATTCTATAAAAGGAATGGCTCAACAAGTTCAAGGACGGACTCGATGAGCTTGGTGAGAAAGTCCCGATTCTTTGGATAGGAGGAAGTCAACAAGTTCGTAAAAGAACTCGAAGAGTTAGATCAAGATTTTAGAGTTTTATGATTGATGGAACTCGGTGAGTTGAGTCAACCCAGAATATTGGATTTGATCAGGGTGTTCACCTTGACTTTGACTTTGACCAAAGCTAGCCCTTAAGGGGTAATGAGTATTAAAGGGTAATTAAGGAAATCTTTTATGTATAGGAGTTTGAGTTGGGTAGATTATCGGAGCCGAGGATTTTTAGCAACTTTATAGCATTTGAGGTGAGTTACCTTGTAGTAGAAGTGGGTCGAAGGCACCAATGCCTACCCACTAGTAGTTAATTGTAGCTGAGATGATTGTCTTTTTCATAATTGTCTAGTATGCCACTATCTGTTTTGCTTTATGTGCTAGTATGCTATTATATTATGTGATATTAGTAGGAGGGGCAGGATAGACCCCGTTACCGGTCAAAAGGATCAAAGGGGTAGGACGACCCCTAGATATGCTTGGTAGTATATGACTTATGTGTTTATGTACTAGGATGATATAAGGTATTGGTAGGGATGAAATAGTCCTCATTACCGGTTGAAAGAAACCGAAGGGGTAGGCCAACACCTTGATATGTTAGGTAGTTACCTGTTGAAGTAGACCAAAGGGGTAGGCCAGCACCTTGATATGCTAGATAGTTACCAGTTGAAATAGACGGAAGGGGTAGGACCTTGATATGCTAGGCATTTACTGGTTGAAAGAGACCAAAGGGGCAAGTAAGCACCCGGATATGCTAGGCAGTATGTTATTGTATGGTATGTGGTATGATGGGGAACGTACTAAGCTTTGTGCTTACGGTTTTTAGTTTTGTTTCAGGTACTTCCTCTTCGAAGGGAAAGGAGCCAACATAATCACAACACATTACACTAGATTTTTCGAGCAAGAGATCTTTCAAATTTATACGCTGATGTTGTTTTATCATGACATGTTTTGAGTATTGATACGTGCGTTTTGATATGAGTTGATATTATGGATGTTTTATGACAAATGGTTTAAAATTATTTAATTTAAAAATGAAATTTTTAGTCTTAAATTTTTGGATGTCACAAGTTTGTATCAGAGCCCTGGTGTGAGGGATTCAGACACACTCTCGGGTGTGTCTGGACTCAAATCTAGGGTTTGAGAATTTTTACAGTGAAAACAATTTTTATAAATTTAAAATTAAGAGTTTTGAGAAAGAATAAGGAGTGTGATGCATTCAATCGGTCGCGCTCAAATAAGTTTCCCCAAGATACCCATACATGGTTGCTATGGTATATGATATATTTATGAGAACTACATGCTAGATTAGGGATAAGGATCTAGGAAGGATGCCTTATATGCGTACTGTATGAGTATGAGAACTGCATGCTAGATTAAGTCTAAGGATCTAGGAAGATGCCTTATGTGCCTACTGTATGTGCTTATTGAATTGTATCATAGTACTGACTAGTCAATGATGTGATAGCCTAATTAGGATATGCCTGGTTTTAGTTACTCAATGCCCGAATGTTGCTTGCTTTGTGCTTTTAGGAGTCCTAGTTATCTTTAACTAACTAGTAAACAAATATGTTAAGTTAGATATTACGACGACTAAATAATTTCATAAGGTTAGGTTTAACCCTATTTCGCTGCTCTCGTCTGAGTCTAACCGTTGTAAGGAGAGACCTCTCATTCAAAGAATTATCTGGTCTTAGTAATATGTAATAATATTCGCAAGCTAGTTAGGGAAAGGTAGCAATGTAACATCCTATTTATTAATAAATAAATAGATAAAAATGATGAATGAATAGTCACCCTAAATCCGTTTTATTTATTGGGGTGTTGGTTTTGGAGAGCCGAATGTTACAACTTAGAGTTTTAGGGGTTAAAAGTGTAAGTAATGGATTTAATTTGAAAACTATTTTAGAAGTCAGTGTGTGTTTCGTAATTAACAGACTTAAATTGAAAGGATTTGAAGGCTTAGGGGTTGATTGGCAATTCCGGGACCTATTATGAAAGGACTTTTGGAGATAGGGATTAAAAAGGTAAACTATGGACTTTTTTTGGAAGGATTTAGAGTGGGAAGGACCAAATGTGTAAAGTAATCTAGAGTTTGGATGGGATAAGGGTATTAAACCCGTCACCTTATTGCACCATGTGAAACCCTAACCTTAACAGAAATAAGCAGCCGTCATCCTCTCTATCTTCAACCTCTGGTCGCCACCACCACCATAGGAACCCTTCTTAGCCATCGTTTGCATCACCAAGTCCGAAAACCATTGTTCTGCCTATTGCCTCGCTGATGAAAAGCCACAACTACTTTGCTGCCGAAGACGTCGTGTACACCGGAGAACTGTCGAGACCATGGAAGCGAGTTACGTACATTACTGTGCAAGTCGTGAGGGGAAAGGGAGCTCACGGTAAGGACCACCGCCACCACCTACATCTTCTTCTTCGTTCTTTCTGTGTCCTGATGTCGTCTACGTCGACGGGAACCAATGGTGGGCTTTGGTCGCCGTTTCTGGGTTTTCGGTCGTCGCTTTCCACCCATAGTGGTTGAGTTGGGAAAGTTTCGATCTTCAGATCATGTTTACATGTGTGTACGTGTGGTTGCTAGGCTGGGAATCAAGAGAATTGTCGCCACCACCGTGAGGTGGTGGCTGTCGCTGCAATCCGTCGTTAGCATTGTTGTTGTCGTCGCCAAACGCCACCAGGAGGGTGGCTGCGGTGCATCTTGCAAAATAGAAGTGTGTGTTTTGTGTTGTGCGTGATTTTTTTTTGGCTAGAAAATTAAGAACATCCACCACTACCACCGTGAGGTGGTGGCTGCCGCCATGTACCAACGCCGGCCACTACTAGGGTGGTTGTGTGTGTGAGTGTGTGTTATTTTATGTATGTGTGTTATTTGGACATTGTTGTAAATTGTATTGTAATCGACCAGAATAATAAAACCCTAGCGGTCCCTATGAGACCCTAATGGGCCCAATGAAGCCCTAATTGACAT